AAGATTCTGAGTGGTTATTTGTGAAGTGGCTGCTGGCACAGGAAAACTCTGCCTACAGCTACTTGTGGTGATTTGCCCCATAGGTGATTGAATACTTGGACCTATTTGGAGGATCTGTTTGGGAAGGATTAGGAGGTGTGCCCTTGTTAAAGGAGGTCTGTTACTGGAAGCAGGCTTTCAGGTTTCAAAAGATGCCATTCTTTTTGTAGACCTGGATACAAGTGCTCAGCCACTGTTCCAGTGCTGTGCCTGCCTGCCTGCTGCCATGCTCCCTGCCATGATGGACATGAACTCTAGCCCTCTGAAACCATAAACTTCAAATAAACTCTTTCTTCTATAAGCTGCCTTGATCATTATGTCTTATTACAGCAATAGAAAAGTCACTAAGACACTGCTCTTGCAGAGCATCTGGGCTTGGTTCCCAGCACCCATATGGCATTTAACAACTGTATGTAACTCTGGTTCTAAGGGCCCTCTTCTGGCCTCCAAAAGTACTAGGCATGCTCATAGTGTACATACATACATGCAAGCAAAACACTTAAACACATAAAATTAAAACAAGTAAAAGACAGGAAGAAAACATACTTATGCTTATGTTTATATATGAAGTTTATGGTTATCTTTGAATGGTTCCATACAATGAACAAAATAATAAAAGAATCATACATATAAAGCAAAGAGAGTGATTGACTAGCAAGCCTTGGAACACACATCCCATATGAAAGGAGATACCTTATTTAGAAAAGTAATCATTGCCATGCAAGACTGGGCCCAGTATTTATTGAATGTGTTAATTTAAAAAAATTTTTATTTTGGAATAGCTACAGATCCACAGGGAGTTACAAAGATTGTACAGAAAATATATTCTGAACCAAGTTTCCTCCAAAGGTCACACTATATAATAATCTTGTAATATCAAAACCAGGGAATTGATTGATACTGGTATACTGTTCTACTCAACATTTTATTTCCTTTATTTTGATAAGCAATATTACAAGGTATAGATTTACCAATTTAAGCAACCATTCTCCTGCTGTGGGACATTTTGGCTGTTTCAAGTTTCTAGCTAGTACAAAAAAAAAAAAAGTCCAATCACTAGAGGTCTTTGGGTAAGCATATGCTCTTACTTTCTGAGATGACAACCGTAGATTACAGCTATGTGCTACAATATGAGTGTATATTCAGGGTTGTTTTTAAAGATTTATTTTATCTTATGTATATGGGTGTTTTGCCTTCCTGTTTGTCTGTTCACATGTGCATGAAGTACCTGAAGAGGCCACAAGTGGACACCAGATCCTCTGGAACTGGAGTTACAAATGGTTGTTAGTACCATGTGGGTGCTGGGAACAGACCTTAAGTCCTCTGCAAAAGCAGGAAGTACTGTTAACCACTGAGCCATCTCTCCAGCCCTGTTTGCTTGTTTTTAGATTTATTTTTTATTTATGTATGTGAGTCGTTGTAAATTTCTGTGCATCATGTGAGTGCAGGAGCTGAAGGCCAGAAGAGGCCATTGTACACTCTAGAACTAAAGTTACAGATGATGGCCAACTCCTACTTAGTTCTGGGAACAGGATCCCAGTCCTGCAAGAGCAGCAAGTGCTCTTTACCACTGACCCATCTCTCACCAGCTCCAGCCCCAGCCCCCAAAGTATTTAAGACAAATAATTAAATGTGAGAAAAGTCTTTAATAATTCTTGTTAGAGGAAGAAACATTTAACAGCTTAGTGATAGCATCACCATTTTGAATAGGCAGAGCTAGTCCTGATACTTGGTGGAGCTTAGTTGAAAGTGTATTACTTATCTGTTGTGGGATATTTGCACAGTGTGAAGATATATTTGCTGTGATTGGTGTAATAAAAAGCTAAACGGCCAATAGCTAGGTAGGAGGTACAGGCAGGATTTCTTGGGAGAAAAAGGAAGAGGAGCAAAATCTAGGCACATGAGAGATGCCAGGAGACAGAAGAAGCAGGATGGGTTGCTGTGGAATAATCCTTCAGTATATTGTGAAAATGTGTTGCTCTCATTGTTAATAAAAAGCTGATTGGTTGATAGCTAGGCAGGATTTTCAGGGCAGAGATCATGCTGGGAAGAAGAAGGGCAGAGTCTGGAGCAGACACAGAGGGAAGCAAGATGAATGTGCCTTGTTGAAAGAAGGTACAGCCTTGTGGCAGAGGGTAGATAAGAAATATTGCTGCAGGCCGCAGGAATATATCATAAGAACTCAGCTGGTTATGGCAAAGTCACTACCTGGAGGAATCAGGGAATTCCTCCAGAGGAAGCCAAATCCCAAGGAGTTTTTGGTATTACTTGGCTTGTTATATATCAGCTGTATTCTGTTATGAAAATCATGTGTGTCTTCATAGTTTTTCCAATTGACTTCCCCCTAAGAAGGACTAACAGTGTAGACTGATCACTCTCTGGACATACGCATTCCAGGTATTTGAAGAACAGCCTCAGGAAAGGCTTTCTCTGGAATCAGATTATCTCCCTTAGTCACTTTCTTCAAGGACTACAGGAAACACCACCCAGGTGGGCGCCCAACTTCCGAGGACTAACAATGATAACAGCCCACATGCAAGTCTCCTGACTTACGGTAAATTCCACAAGGAGACACCGCCCAGGAGAGGTGGACGTTAAGTAATAGCTTTACACAGTTTAGCTCGGACCCTCCCTTTTATATACTGGGACTTCCAGGGTACAGGGCGGAGAAGAGAAAAGAGAATGGAAGAACTAGATGGGTAAGAACTTGAGATGAACAAACTGAGATGGGGAAGAACTAGATTGAAGGGCTAAAAGAGAGAACTAGAGGAACGAGATGGAAGCTGAGGAAGAGCAAGAGAGCGAAGAACAAGATGAGGAAGAGTCAGATGAGAGAGAAGGAGATGGGAGAGGAGCTGATAGGGGAAAGAACTAGATACATGAGAATCTAGAAGGGACAGAACTAGATGAAGGAATTAAGATAGAACCTAGAGGGGACAGTAGATAAATATAGAGAGAAATCAGGCAAGAAAGGAGCTAGACATGAGAGCAGAATAGAAGCTGTGCAGAGAGAGAACTATCACAGAATAATAAAGTGTATGAACTAAGGAGTTTCGTGTACATAGATTCATTTCTTTTCATCAAAGATTAATTATCAGCTGGTTGTAAATTCTTCCCGGACTATCGAGGGGCTGGACCCCCATAGTCCCTGATAAAATATGGCTTAATTAAAAATGTAAGAGTTAGCTAGTAATCAGCCTGAGCAATTGGCTGAGCATTTATAATTAATATTAAGTCTCCATGTCAGTTATTTGGGAACTGGCTGGTTGGACAGAAAAGTCTGCCTACAGTGGACAGTACCTGACAGAACATAGATTAAATAAAAATGGATTAATTTAAGTTATAAGAGCTAGTTAAAATCAAGCCTAAGCTAAGGACAAGCTTTCATAATTAATAATAAGTCTCCCTGTCATTATTTGGGAGCTGGCTGGTGGAACAAAAAAGACTAGTTATACTTATCCAACCTTTGGGAGTTGGAGGCAGGAGGATCAGGAGTTTAAGGTCATCCTCCACTACCTGGGCTACATACTTCAAAAGCCTAAAATAAGTAAAAAGATAAAGAATCTTATGTAGTAATACAGATGTCCATGTTTAGTGTCCACAGGCACATCTAACAGTTAACAGGGGAATAAAGAGCATGGAAATTACTACTCTTTTTTTTTTTTTTTTAGATGGAGTCCCACTGTGTAGCTCTAGATGGCTTAGAAGTTGCTATGTAGGCCAGGTTAGCCTTAAACTTACAGAAATCTTCTTGCCTCTGCCTCCCTAGTGCTAGGATTAAAGGCAAGTAGCACCATACCCTGGCTTTGTTCTTGCCCTTTAAGTCCAAATTTTTAAATTATGACTTTTAATAGTAAAATCAATAAATATTTTCCTGAGGTCAGGCTTTTCTTCTTCTTCTTCTTCTTCTTCTTCTTCTTCTTCTTCTTCTTCTTCTTCTTCTTTTCTTCTTCTAGAAGTTCATTCAGTTATGGTGATGTTCTGGTTCAGAGAATGGTGATTTTAACTCTCAACTACGCACCATCTGACCACAATCCATGCTCAAATTACACATAAGGTACTCACCTTGTATGTACACTAAATAACAGTTTGCTCAAGTGGGAGTGGTCCAACGTGATGCTCTTCATACTTTGGGGAATTATAGACACTTCTACTGTTAAGAGAATTGACTGGATTCATTTACGAAATACAGGTTTGGGAAGACTTTGATTCATACATGTTTGAAAGGAGGAGTACGCTGGAAAGTTATGGTTGTGTGATTATCTTTCTACCACACAGGCTGTGTGTACCTTTGTCTTCACTTGTCCCTTAGTCCAGATCCAGCAGATATAACCACAAGCTTTATTTCTGTTGGCCTCAGAAAGTTCACTTCTCAGGGTTGGTGAGATGGCTCAGCAGAGGATCTGGGTTTGGTTCCCAGCACCCACATGGTGGCTCACAACTGTCTGTAGCTCCAGTTCCAAGTTAGCCTTCACCCTCTTCTGGCCTCCATGGGCACCAGAGGAGGCAAGTGTAGGCAAACACCCACACACACAAGATAAAAATAAACAAATATAAAAATTCCCCTTCTCAGCCAAGCCCAAGAGAATAGGTAATCCAAATAGAGCAGTCTTCGTTGCCAGTACAAGTCACGTGGAATGTGATCTTCACCCATTTGTAATTTCTATGAACGATACAACTCCATCATTCCTATCTAACTCACTCATTTCTACACTGGTAGTAGATTTTGGGCTATCGTCCAGCCCAGATGCCGCCCGCTGGGCCTTAAACTACCTAGCACCTGTGGGGCCTTCTGGGTGGATGAGAAAACCCAACGCCGTAGGTGGGATCTGCATTCATCAAAACTCTCTTCCCAGAGGCTGACCTCTGGAAGGGTGCGCCGGACTCGGGGGCCGCCAGGGGGCGCGCTGGCCCGGGAGGACCGACAGGAAGGGGGCGCGTCTAGGCCGGCAGAGCGCCTGCCGTACTCGCTGTCCACAAAGCGCCAGCTGAGGGGCGGCTGCAGCCGGTGCGGCGGAGGCTGTCAGCCACTCTGCTGCTCCGCGGCCCTGCGCTCCCGGAAGCCGGATTGCCGCGCGAGTCCTGTCAGTGCGAGCAACGCGAGACCTCTTCTCGCCGCTTGCGGAGAAGCACCGAACAGCCCGGCCTGCGTGCGGCGGCGACTTCCCGGGACCGGACCGGACCGGGTAGCGGAGGGCCATGGCTGAGGCGACCGCCGCTCCGGTAAGGGCGATGATGCACGGGCGTCTCTGTCACCCGGGCTTCGGGGGAAGCGAGGAGGCTGGGGACGGCCGCGGGCCTTGTCGCCCGCGTGGGTCTGCGGCTGTCGCCCGCCCTGAAGGGCCACCGCGGACTGCAGCAGCGCCAGGGGACCCGGGTCTGAGGTTTCTAGCTCCCACGCGCCGTGCCGCTTCGGGTTAGCCCGCAGAACGGGGAAGTGGGCTCGAGGTGTTTTTGAAACCCGCCAGCCATTCTGTACAGCTGCGAGGGCTGCGGTTGCTAGGTGCGGCCGGACAGTCCCCTGCCAGGCGGCGAAGGTAAAAGCCAAGGTGTGCCCTTAACAGACTGCGTGAGGACGGACAGCGTCGCCCGCCCGCCCGGACGGGCCGAGGCCCTGCAGGGACCTTGGAAGGGCCGACTGGAGCGTAGGCTCAGCCAGTCGCGCGGGTGCATGTGTGCTGCAGGCCTGCAGCGGGCCCAGTCGGGCACCAGAGAGACGCCAGAGCCGCCAGGGCTACCGCGACAATCCTTGCACACAGCCATTGAGGAAGAGGGAATGGTTGCTTAACAGGACGTTCTGATGGGAAGTATTGCTTGTGTTTGCCACCTAAGAAGCCTTTGGTCAGCCCAAAGAGACGTTTTAATAATAGGTCAGATGCCGGGCGGTGGTGGCGCACGCCTTTAATCCCAGCACTCGGGAGGCAGAGCCAGGCGGATCTCTGTGAGTTCGAGGCCAGCCTGGGCTACAGAGTGAGTCCCAGGAAAGGCGCAAAGCTACACAGAGAAACCCTGTCTCAAAAAAAAATAGGTCAGAAGCCAGGCAGGTCCGCTGAGAAATATTTAGGAAGGAAGAGGAAAACGGGAGCCGTGGGGTTGCGTGGGGAAGAGAGCAGAGGAGAATACCATCCTTACTCCTGGAGCTTAATTTTTTTTCCAAACAAAAAGTAATAATTTAAAAGATAGTAGAGACCGTCATGTCTCCTATAGGTATATGCTGAGAGCCGGGCACCTACTTTTAATTCTCTACTGGTCATGTTTAGGAGGTAAAACCATGGTGGCATGGTGGCTCACACTTGGGGGTCTGAGAGAAGAGGATCAGAAATTTTAGGATATGCTTGGCCAAATAACCAGATTATGTGTCTTAAAAAAGAAAGAAAGAAGGTAAAACCGGAAATTAATTTCATTGATTAGTGTTATTTAGTCTCGTGTATGCAAATTTTCAATAGCAATAAATATTACAGAATTATTAATGAGATTTTACAGTTTTTCATACTAAGTCTTCATACCACTGTTTTTTATACTCAGCACATCTGAGTTGAACTGACCACATTTCAAGTCCTCAGTGATCCCATGGAATCAGTGGCTATGGTACTGACCAGAGCAAGTCTGTTTTGATGAAGAAGAATTGGGAGATACTGATATTTTTAATTTTAATTTTAAGAAATATTTTTAGGAGCTGGAGAGATGGCTCAGAAGTTAAGAGCACTTGTTGCTCTTGCAGAGGACCCAGGTGTAGTTCCAGCATTCACATGGTGGCTCACAACAATGTAACTCCAGCTCTAGACTATCTCATGCCCTCTTCTGACCCCTGAGGGCATCAGGCACGCACATGGTGCCACATCCATACACGAAGACGAGATACTGATATACATACAGCAAATAAATCTAAATGATTTAAAAATATTTTTATTCTTTGAGAATTTAAGAGAATGTCTTTTGTTCATGTTCACCCACTCATCCGAGACTCACTCCTCCCTCCCAGTGTCCTACAGTTTTGTGTCTTTTTTTTTTTTAATGACCCATGGAGTCTAAATTGTGTTTTCATATACTCCTTGGTGTATATTCCATTCACTGGAATGTGGCTGATCTACCAGGGGCCACACCCCTAAAAACGGGCTCCCCCCCAGATGCCATCAGTTGGCCACAGCTCCCCAGTTATGGGTGGGGCTCATGAACTTCCCCTTCTATGCTATAATGGGGACTAGCTTGATCTTCTGCAGGCAGCCACGGCTGATAGGAGTTCATGAGAGCAACAGTCCTGCCATGTCCAGAAGACACTGTTTCACCAGCCTTGGTCTTAGAATCTTATTGACCTTCTTCCTCAGTGGGCCTGAACCTTGGGATTTGGACAGTGCTGTGGATGCCCCATTTGGTTGAACACTTCACTGACAAGTTTTTACTACTACTACTACTACTACTACTACTACTACTACTACTACTACTACTGAGTCTCTCTTTGAGACAGAATCTCACTCTGTAGCCCTAATTGGCAAACATAGACCAGGCTGGTCCCAAACTCACAGAAGTATTCCTGCCTCTGCAAGTGCTAGGATCAAAGGCATGTGCCATCACGCCAGCTGTTATCTTTGTAATGTACCTTATAAGGCAGAAGGGTTGGTATTAAGAGCACAAGTGGAGAGACTCGCTTTAAATAAGATCAAATTCCTTTGAGAAAGAAAGAATACGTGTATTGTTACTGATAGTTTGGTGTGGGAAGGAATATGAAGAAAAAGAGCTTAGGTCTAATTACTTCAGTTTCCTTTTTGTTTTGTGTTTGTTTTCCGAGACAGGGTTTCTATGTACAGCCCTGGCTGTCCTGGAACTCACAGAGATCGGCCTGCCTCTGGCCCCCACCCCTCCACCCCTAGTGCTGGGATTAAAGGCGTGGGTCACCACAGCCTGGCTTACTTCAGTAAGGGTGCAGTGTGGAGAAGTCTCTGCCCTCACTGTGTGAGCCCTGAATCAGCAGGTGCAGCATCCATCAACTAAGATTAGCTTGTTTAAATCGCACATCTCCATTCTCTTCTTTCCACACTTACTAAATGAAACTATGTGGTTTTTATTTTATTTTATATGTTATGTGCATTGGTGTTTTGCTTATGGAACTGGAACTGGAGTCACAGACAGCTGTGAGCTGCCATGTGGATGCTGGGACTTGAACTCAGGTCCTCTGGAATAGCAGTCAGTGCCCTTAACCGCTGAGCCATCTCTCCAGCCCCGAAACTATGTGTTTTTAACTGGATTGTCAATGATTTGGGGGGGCGGGGATCAGGACTTGGGATTGCGGTCTTGCCATTGTAGCCCTTGCTGGCTTGGTACTCACTATGTAGCCCAGACCGGACTCAAACTCACAGCAGTTCTCCTGACTCAGTTTCCTCAGTGCAGAGGACAACACCGGGGAGTTGATTCTCTTCTTCCATGGTTTGGGTCCCAGGAATTGAGCTCAGATAATCAGGCTTGACTGCAAGTGCCTCTAACTGCTAAGCCATTGCACTGGCCGATTGCCCAACCTTTTCCAGTTGATTCTTTTGCACATTAGTTTGAGAGTTTGTAGAAGCCTGGAGGACACTACCGTGTCGAGGGCGCCACTGAGCTCTGACCATTGGTATATGTTGACAGCATCTCACATGGTTGTATGATTTTCTTTTGTAGATCTCACCTGATGCTTGTAGAAGCAAAAAAAAAAAAAAAGTGAATGATTCAACTCAAAGTAGGTCAGCTGAGCAAGGGAGGCATTAGAGACATGAGTGAAATGGGGTTGAAAAGTGTCAGAAGTGGTCGAGCAGGGAAGAAAGCAAAGCCATGTGCAGGTGGTAGGCCAGGAGCAAATGGAATCATCATAGAAGAGTTATTATTAATGGACTGGAGGTCTGATGAAATGAGAATAAGACAGTGTGTAAAGTGGAAATAGAAGGCTGTGGCCAGAGTGGTGTATCAGGTTCAGAGAATTAGGCCTTGTAGAGGCTTAGTCTAACTTCCTATTTGTTGTACAGATTTCTTCCATTTATGATACTCTGTTTCAAAGTATATTCAGTAATGAACAAACAGCCTGTGACTTTCTTGGAAAAAAATCTAATTCAAACATCATTACCAGCCTGAAAATTCCCATGTATTTTTCTAATTTGGCCTTTGGAGTTTCATAGTATAAGATTAAACAAACCTGTTCTACCTTCAATTTCAGAACCCTTGAATATTTGAAAATAGCTGTCATATTTTCTCTAGACTAGACATCCTCAGCCTGTTCAATTATTACTAATTGGTATAGTTGTAGTGTATTAACGAGTGATAGACAGGGCTAGATATAAATTCTTAAGAGATTTGTCGCCGGGTGGTGGTGGCGCACACCTTTAATCCCAGCAGAGGCAGGCAGATCTCTGTGAGTTCGAGGCCAGCCTGGACTACCAAGTGAGTTCCAGGAAAGGCGCAAAGCTGCACAGAGAAACCCTGTCTCGAAAAACCAAAAAAAAAAAAAAAAAAAAAAAAAAAGAGAGAGATTTGTCAGAGGGCACTGAGGTCAGTGAAACTTGGTGAGAATTCTTATGTACATTAGCCTTTTCCAGAGATAGAAGAGGCAGCAGCAACCTGTACTTCTGGGCCTTTTATTAGAGAAATGGGCCAGATTGGCCTTAAGAAGCCAATTTATTTATTCAGTATCTTTCCCAATCCATCCTTGAACCCACCAGAACAGTTCCCTCGGCTTTTGATGCCAACAGGCTTCGGAGCAACAAGGTTGACATAGGCACTGTAAAGCTGTACTAAAACAATTTTGGTTAATATCAGCTGGACAGTTAAGTCGTTCTTATTTGGTTGTGGTTTAGAGTCAGGATTCCTTCTAATCTCAATGTCTTGTCCCATCTCTCCATTGCACATAGACTTCTGAATGGGACTCGGACTGCCTTACACCCCTGCAGCCCCTTTCTCTTCCTACACCTCCAGCTGCAAATGAGGCACACCTGCAGACTGCAGCCATCTCCCTGTGGACAGTGGTGGCTGCTGTCCAGGCCATAGAGAGGAAGGTGGAGGTCCACAGCCGGCGACTCCTCCACCTAGAAGGCAGGACAGGGACAGCAGAGAAGAAACTAGCCAGCTGTGAAAAGACAGTGACTGAGCTTGGGAACCAGCTGGATGGCAAGTGGGCTGTGCTGGGGACCCTGCTGCAGGAGTATGGGCTGCTGCAGAGGCGGCTGGAGAACCTGGAGAACTTGTTGAGAAACAGGAACTTCTGGATCCTGCGGCTGCCCCCAGGTATTAAAGGAGATATCCCAAAGGTAATACCCCACTTCTAGGCTACAGTGGTACCACTAGCTCGGACACTAGCCGTTTAAGAGGTAGTCTTAGTCGGTCAGTTACTTAGGTATTTTTATTTCCTCTTAAAATTTCCTGTTTCCTCTTAGGTTGAGCAGGGCGGTGGTGGCCCACGCCTTTAATCCCAGCATTCGGGAGGCAGAGTCAGGCTGATCTCTGTGAGTTTGAGGCCAGCCTGGTCTACAGAGTGGGTTCCAGGACAGCCAGGGCTACACAGAGAAACCCTGTCTCGAAAAACCAAAAAAAAAAAAAAAAAAATAAAAAAGACTTAGGTTGATGGCATGGCACACCAGTGGCTCAGTACACATTGTCAGGCTCCCAGAGAGAAAACTCTTTCTCGTCCATAGTGGACTCTCCAGATTCTTCTTCCTCTTTTACTTTCTTTCACTTTTGCTTGTATATGAGTCACTTCTCTCTCTGTAAAACTGTCTGCCACAATCTTAGTGACAAAATTGAATTCAATTGCATTTAAATCAGTTAATTTGTATTTGGTTGACAATTTTGGTGAAAAGTTAGAGGGAAGACAATGTGAGGGATTATAATCATGTGGTTCTTATAAGGGCTGAGGGTCATCTGTGAGGCTAGGCTGTCATTCATAGAACAAGCATGCTGAGAAGCTAATGCTGTCTTCTGAAGGAACCGGTTTATAAAACAGGAAGTTTTGATGATCCCGGTTTGACAGTGAGACACCTGGTTTCCAAACATACTCTTTCATTCATACATTTGTTCACAGACACATGCCTTTTTAATTCTTTAAAAAAATATTTGTTTGAGGTAGGTATGCCTTTTTCCCTAACGCTCTGGAGGCAGGGACAGGAGGATCTCTGTGAATTTGAGGTCAGCCTGGTCTGCATAACAGTTCCGGGACAGCCAGGAATACATAGAGAGACCTTGTCTCAAAAAAAAAAAAATTTTTTTTTTTTTTTGGCTTAGGAGTTTGATATGTAGCCCAGACCTGCTCACAACTTAGAATCTTTCTTCAGCCTCACAAGTAATGGGATTGCAGGCATAGGGCACTATACCTGGGTTTCACAAGTATTTCTTTTTTTTTTTTTTTTTTGTTTTTGTTTTTCGAGACAGGGTTTCTGGAACTCATTCTGTAGACCAGGCTGGCCTCGAACTCACAGAGATCCACCTGCCTCTGCCTCCCGAGTGGTGGGATTAAAGGCATGTGCCACACAAGTATTTCTTGAATACATTTTTGCTTATTTTATATATTTTCCCAAAGAAAAAACTATAACTTGTAAAACATTTAAATACTTTGATAAAAGTAAAGTCAGGTGCTTTCTAGTGTTCTGTTTTTATGTGGATGCCTGAAAAGGTGTCACTAAGAAAATGATATTTAGCCAGGTATGGTAGCATATGCCAGCACTTGGGAGCCAGAAATAGATGATCTCTATAAATTTGAGGCCAGACTATGGTACATAGGGAGTTCCAGGCCAGCCAAGGATATACAGTGAGGCCCTGTTTTTTGTTTTTGTTTTTGTTTTTTTTCCCCGAGAGAGGGTTTCTCTGTGTAGCTTTGCGCCTTTCCTGGAACTCGCTTTGGAGACCAGGCTGGCCTCGAACCCACAGAGATCTGCCTGGCTCTGCCTCCCAAGTGCTGGGATTAAAGGCGTGCGCCACCACCACCCAGTGCTTGTTTGTTTTTTGAGACAGGGTTTCTCTGTGTAGCCTTGGCTGTTGTGGAACTCACTCTGTAGACCAGGCTGGCCTTGGGTTCACAGAGATCTGCCTGCCTTTGCCTTCCAAGTCCTGGGACGAAAGGTGCGCACCCCCACCACCCCCAGCAAGACTTTATTCTTAACAAAACAACAACAAGAAGAAGTCAACTGGCTTGGTATACTTTAAAATTTTTGGAGTTCAAGGTGGAAAAATTTTAAAAACTCTATAGACATTATAATATATGACTGAGATTATGACCTTTAAGACCAAGGAAAGGAATTTGAATTAGAAACTTGAGTACAATGGGAAGGAACTAGGACTTGAGTACAGGAATTGTTACTGGCTTATGTTTTAAAGAATTATTCTGGCTGCTTTGTGGAGATTTGTCGGAGGAAGAACAGAAACAGAGTGGGAACCGGGAGGGAGTGTTCATAACAAGAAAGTGAGAGTAGCTTGGGTGGTGAAGCTGGAAGATGAGGAGAAGTAGATACAGGGGACTGACAATAGGATTTCCTTTGTTGGGAATTTGACATGAGGGATAACCATCACTGTGAATTAACTGTGGGATAATTTACTTAGAACTTAGTGTTCTGTTTTACTTATTTCAAGGCTTATAATTTTCTTAAGAGTCCTAACTTGCCCAAGATCTTATGGCTACTAACAATATACAGCAGAGTTGTATTTTTAACCTAGTTGGCTCTGAAGCATATACTCTGTAGATTTACTGACTCTTAGGCTCTTAGTTTAAGAACTGAGAGATGCCTGGGTGGTGGTGACGCACACCTTTAGTCCCAGCAATTGGGAGGCAGAGTGAGTTCCAGGACAGCCAGGGCTACAGAAAGATCTCAAAAAACGAAACCAAACCAAACAACAGAGAGTGGGGGAGGGACAGAGAAGAGAGAGAACTGAGAGATAGATGGCTTACCTGTTGCTTTTATAGAGGATCTGGGTTTGGGTCCCAGCCATCTATAACTCCAGTTCCAGGGGACTCCGTGCCCTCTTCTGGCCTCTGCAGGCACCAGGCATGCGCACAATACACTTAACATACATGCAGGCAAAGTACTCATACAGATGCATTAAATAAAAGTAAATCTTTAGAAAAAGAAAATGAACTGAATAGATGGTAACATTTCCTTTAGGATACTGTTATGGAGAGCTCACCAGAAATGACCACTCAGACACAGTGTATAGCCATTTGAAAGTCTTTATTCCAGCAGACTGAGGCCACACCCAAGTGTTCAGGGTCCTGAGTATTCCCCTTCCCATCCCCTCTGTGGTGGTATTGTGTTCCCTGCAGATATTTTTTTTTTCAGAGTTGAAAGTCCAAGAGGTCAGAGCAATAGCTCTTGGACACAATACCACCACACTCCTCTCCCACTCCCATCCAGTACACAGGATTTTTAAAGGCTTGAAACTAAATCCTGGCACCTCATTCAACAGGTGCAGGGGGACTTTGCAGAAATAAGCAGTTTGTAGCAAGCAGTTTTAACAAAAGCTAAGATAAGTAGTTAGCTGGAGGGAGTTCCTCACAAACAAGCAGTTTTAACAAAGGCTAAGATAAGTTAGCTAGGACATCCTGACCTTTGGTTCCTGGAATAGAGTTGGGTAGTTTTCCATGGGATTCTCCATGAAAGAGATCAGAATCTAGTTAAACCTGGAATGGCGTCAGCAAGAATACAGGGTGGAGGAACCTCTACACTGTCTTGCCTCATCACAGTACCTCAGGGAATAAAAGGAATGGGTCGTTATCACTGGGCAGTGTTGGGTGCAAGAAGCTCAAGGAAGGGTGAAGAGTCCTTGACGTGGAGATAGTATTGTCAGTTATGAGTTGGAAGAGACGTCTCTAGAGAGAGTGGATAACAAGAGGTTGAGGTTCAGAGATAGAAGGAGTCAACTGAGGAGCCTCAGCAGGAAAACCAATCAGAGAGTGGGTGGTGCCACAGGGCTAAGGAGGAAAACAGCATTTCAAGTAGAGTTGTGATTTGTGAGTTACAGTACTGGGAGGTCCAGAAAGGAAAGGACAGTGACCATGACTGGCAGCATGGCTGTCAGAGGAGATCGTGACATAATTTGCTTTTCTGGCAAGATAGAGATAGAAGACAGAAGTGCATTTAATTCTAGTCAAAATATACTGAAAATTTGGATTGAGAGATACGTCATTGTTGGTAGAGTACTTTCCTCTAGTGTACCAGGTCCTCCCTTTAATGAATGTCTTATATAATTTTAATTAATATATTTTCTTAAATTACATCTTATTTATTTTGTCAGATATGGGGCACATGCTTGCCACAGCCCATGTGTAGAGGTCAGAAGACAACTTTTTCAGATGTCAGTTCTCTCCTTGTTTTTAAGACAGAGTCTCATTGTTTCTGTCACTGACTCCATCTCATTCCAGGAATTCTACTCTGACAGGCTTGCACCACAAGTGTCAGGCACTTTCCTGTGCTGGCCCACCTCCTTGCTCTTAGGTCTGTGAACTTTTTAAGAGGTTATGAAGGACTCTGAGACCAAAAAGTTTGAGAATGTCTGTGCTAGGATTGCAGTTGTTCCTTTTATTATTATTATTTTGTGTATGGGTGTTTTGCCTTCATGTATGTCTATCATGCATTGTACCTGGTGCCTGTTGGGGGCCAGAAGAGAGCACAGGATTCCCTGAAACTGGAGTTACAGATAATTGCAAGCTGCCATTTAGGTGTTAGGAATCAAACTTAGGTCCCCTGGAAGAGCAGCCAGTGTCTTAACCACTAAGCCATCTCCCACTTGCTGTCATTTCTCTAAGGACTCACATAGCTCTTGTATCTTCCAGTAGAGATATTCCTTTTCAACTAACTACTTTTACAGTATTCTCAAGTCTTGGAAAGTTCTGAGCTGTGTTGTGTATTCTGTTACTGCATGTTCTCTTTTCTCTAAGACTTCTTGGTGTCCTTCTCCTTTTCTGACCTGTATTCATATTCTGGGTTCTCTTCAGATATTTAATCTCATCTGGATTCATTGCTTTCCTAGCCTACTATACTGATCTTGTCCCGAGATTGCCTTAACTCATTCCTTTATGGCACTCAGTGTGTCTCAAGCACCAGTATACTTTTTTACTCATTTGTTTCCTGGAGTACATCCTCAAACTTTCAAAGAAAAGATGCATAGGAGGCGTACTTCATGTTGGAAATGTCTTTAATTTATTGTGGGAGTGCCAAACTTAGTAGCACTTACCTGTAATTCTAGTACTCAGGAGACTAAGGCAGAAGGATTGCTGTGAGTTCAAGACTAGCCTGAGCTACATGTCAAGACAGTACCTAAAAAC